ACCCGAGGATAGGGGCTGGTCTTGTACCAGGCACCCAAGGACCCTTGGAGGTGACCCCGAGGAGAGGTTTTAAGTGTGATAAAGTCTTAATAGCTTGAGTTTATTAGGCCCTTACACCAACAAGCTGGTATCAGAGCTGCGTTATAGTGATCCTCGATATAGGTAGCTATGGCGGGCAACACCTCGGCGGTAGCTGGTGAATCTTCAGCCCAAGATCGTAGCGGCAGCCATGATTCTGGTGTTTCTGCGCCAAGGGGAGCGCGAACAAGCCAGGGCTCGCTGATCAAGGAGGTGCTGAAAAACTTCACCGTCGAGAAGTTCAATGGTGAGGGCTATGATGATTGGGCCTGGAAAATGCAACTTTATTTCCGTCAAATCGGTTTGCTGAAACTAATGATTGGGGAGGAGCCTAGACCGAATGACCCCGCCCTTCAGGAAGATTGGGACGAGCGCGCCTCGGCTGGCTACTACTTGATGTCGCAGAGTTTGGAGCTGAACTGTTGGGTGCAAATTCACATTGCACGACATCCTGCCGTCTGTTTGTACGAGTATGCGTGTGCGAATGCATTTGCGTGTGAATGGTATGCTTGTGTGTTTGTTTGCTTTCGCAATTTTCGCTTGAAGCATTTGCAGGTACTCGCAAAATGTGCGCTTCGGCATAACATTGTACGCGCTATGAACAGTACAAGCAGAAAGGACGAGCTCGCAAAGGAACCCAAGATGGAAGCTTTGCGGTTCAACTTACTTGATTGCGCAGATTCAGTTCTATCCAACTCGAAATTGTACTGTTTTGTTTGGTTGACTATAGTGTAGCAGGGCAGGCACTATAGGGGTACAATTTAGGTGAAGGTTGGATGTTGTTTGTCTGTATCTGCATGCTACAGGGCCAGGGGAAACCAGCGGAACCAGCATTTGGCTGGTTGGGCAAAGACAAAACAGGTTCTGTTTTTAGGACCTGAACCTGGTTGTTGTTTTCTCAGGTTGGAAAAACAGAACCAGAGGTTGTCCACCAACCTACCACCTGCTATTTTGTCCAGCCAGGTTGGTTCTGTTGCTTGGAATTATTTGGGATCATCCCTGGTTGTTCCCAGGTTGATTCCCAAGGTCCTTGCTAGCTAGAGCTATTTATTCCTTCTCTGTTTGTACCTGAATATAGTGATATTGATTCAAACGAATTCCTTCCTTGCTGGAATTTCTTTTCTACGCGGTGCGACGGCGGAATGCTACCCGAGTCAACGCTAGTACGCTAGCACTCCAACGCTAGGCTAACGCTGTCCGAGCCATAACTTCGTAATGGCAGAACTTTTCGCGAGGCAACTTGGCTTATTTTAAAGCTCTTAGAGAGAGCTTCGATATAGGAAATTCTCAGCTTAATCCGATCGACAGTCTGCACGATACGCTGCGCAACGTTCAAGGTACTCTTGCTGTTTTGACTAAGTCCCTCTTGATCCCTCTCTCTACAAACTCGGACCCGAGGATAGGGGCTGGTCTTGTACCAGGCACCCAAGGACCCTTGGAGGTGACCCCGAGGAGAGGTTTTAAGTGTGATAAAGTCTTAATAGCTTGAGTTTATTAGGCCCTTACACCAACAAGCTGGTATCAGAGCTGCGTTATAGTGATCCTCGATATAGGTAGCTATGGCGGACAACACCTCGGCGGTAGCTGGTGAAACTTCAGCCCAAGATCGTAGCGGCAGCCATGATTCTGGTGTTTCTGCGCCAAGGGGAGCGCGAACAAGCCAGGGCTCGCTGATCAAGGAGGTGCTGAAAAACTTCACCGTCGAGAAGTTCAATGGTGAGGGCTATGATGATTGGGCCTGGAAAATGCAACTTTATTTCCGTCAAATCGGATTGCTGAAACTAATGATTGGGGAGGAGCCTAGACCGAGTGACCCCGCCCTTCAGGAAGATTGGGACGAGCGCGCCTCGGCTGGCTACTACTTGATGTCCCAGAGTTTGGAGCTGAACCAGCGTCACCACGTCATGCACCTGCTGCCGGAGGCTGAGTGTGGTCCGAAGGCGTGGACGGTGTTGAAGGAGCTGCACGCCCCGACCTCCGTTGTTGCAACATTGATGCTGGAGAGGGAGCTGTCCGCGTTGCGCCTGAGCGAGGGAGAGCCGGTGCAACCTGTCCTGGACAAATTGCGCGACCTCTACGCGAAGTTGGCGACCGCGGGAATCACCTACCCGGATGAGGAGGATCAACCTGCGTACTGTTTTCTTGCCCCTGCACCAGAGGAACCAGCTAGCATGGAGGAGGCATTAGCTGGACCAGATAGGGACAAATGGCTAGCTTCCAGGGATGCTGAGTACCAGAGCCTGCTGGAGAATGGGACTTGGGAACTAGTGGTGCTGCCTGAGGGAAAGAAAGCGGTACAATGCAAGTGGGTGCTAAGGATCAAGACTGACGACAAGGGGCAGGTCACCATCTACAAGAGTAGGTTGGTGGCTAAGGGGTTTATGCAGAAGGAGAAGCGGGACTTCAATGAGATCTTTGCTCCCACTGCCAAACCCCCTACCCTTCGTGTCTTGTTGGCAGATGCAGCCGTTAGTGGGAAGTTCATTATCCAGATGGACATATCAACGGCATTTCTCAACGGGATTTTAGAGGAGGAGGTGTTCATGACGCAGCCACCTGGGTATGAGGATGGTACGGGCAGGGTGTGCAAGCTGAAAAAGTCCATCTACGGCTTGAAGCAGGCGCCACGCTGCTGGTACCAGAAGTTGGCAGCTGTTTTAGAGGAGATGGGATTCAGGACCAGCAGCTGTGATGAGAGCCTCTTTCTCAAGGGGGAGGGGGAGAAGCTGGTGCTGTTTCTGGTCTATGTGGACGACATTCTTCTCTTTAGCAGCAGCATGAAGGAGATCCAGAAGGTGCAGCAGCAGCTGATGGAGAACTTCAAGTGCAAGAACCTTGGGGAGGTAAAGTACTACCTCGGGATGCATGTGGAGAGGGATCTGGATCACAGGTGGTTGAAGCTGCACCAGGAGAAGTTCATCAAGGAGCTTGGGGAGAAGTATGGAATTGAGAATGAGCGCAAGGTTGCAACTCCCCTGCCAGCAGAATTCAAGCTTGTGAAAGCTGCAGAGGATGAAGGAGTTGAAGCCGAGGAGCAGCAGCAATTTCAGTCCTTGGTGGGCAGCCTCTTGTATGCAGCAGTTCACACGAGACCCGACATCTCTTTCTCGGTTGGGCAGCTGGCTAGGGTAGTGCAGAATCCATCAGAGGAGCAGGTGGATGCAGCTGAGCGTGTGGTGAAGTATCTGAACTCTCACCCAAGCATTGGAGTTCAATACTCCGCATCTGCACAGGTGAAGCAGAAAGGGGTTGAGGTGCTGAAAGAGAAGGGGGAGAGGCTTGGAGAAGGCAAGCTTTTTCTCACTTGCTTTACTGATGCTACGTGGGCCTCTGAGAAGGAGGATTCCTCATCTGTGGGAGGATACATCTGCGTAGTTGGGGGAGGACCGGTTAGTTGGAGGTCAAAGAAGCAGACGGAGACAGCACTCTCTTCCGTGGAATCAGAGTACATGGCGATGTTCCATGGGGTGAAGGAGGTGATTTGGCTGAGGAGGCTGTTGGAGGAGATTGGCCAGGAGCAAAAGGTTGCTACGCCGCTGTTTTGTGATAGCAAGGGAGCTCTTGGGATGGCCATGAACGCTGTGCTTCATGGGCTGAATAAGCACATGCGTATCAAGTGGCACTGGCTGCGTAAGGAGGTGAAGAGGGGGACGGTGAATCCGATCTACATCAAGACTCACCAGCAGCCAGCAGACTTCCTCACCAAGAGGCTTGCGGATGAGTCTCATTGGCGTTGTGTGCGCATGAGTGGAATGAGCATGAACTAGTATGGAATGATGGGGATGCAGCCGGCAGGCTGAGGGGGAGTGTGTTGGGTGCAAATTCACATTGCACGACATCCTGCCGTCTGTTTGTACGAGTATGCGTGTGCGAATGCATTTGCGTGTGAATGGTATGCTTGTGTGTTTGTTTGCTTTCGCAATTTTCGCTTGAAGCATTTGCAGGTACTCGCAAAATGTGCGCTTCGGCATAACATTGTACGCGCTATGAACAGTACAAGCAGAAAGGACGAGCTCGCAAAGGAACCCAAGATGGAAGCTTTGCGGTTCAACTTACTTGATTGCGCAGATTCAGTTCTATCCAACTCGAAATTGTACTGTTTTGTTTGGTTGACTATAGTGTAGCAGGGCAGGCACTATAGGGGTACAATTTAGGTGAAGGTTGGATGTTGTTTGTCTGTATCTGCATGCTACAGGGCCAGGGGAAACCAGCGGAACCAGCATTTGGCTGGTTGGGCAAAGACAAAACAGGTTCTGTTTTTAGGACCTGAACCTGGTTGTTGTTTTCCCAGGTTGGAAAAACAGAACCAGAGGTTGTCCACCAACCTACCACCTGCTATTTTGTCCAGCCAGGTTGGTTCTGTTGCTTGGAATTATTTGGGATCATCCCTGGTTGTTCCCAGGTTGATTCCCAAGGTCCTTGCTAGCTAGAGCTATTTATTCCTTCTCTGTTTGTACCTGAATATAGTGAAATTGATTCAAACGAATTCCTTCCTTGCTGGAATTTCTTTTCTACGCGGTGCGACGGCGGAATGCTACCCGAGTCAACGCTAGTACGCTAGCACTCCAACGCTAGGCTAACGCTGTCCGAGCCATAACTTCGTAATGGCAGAACTTTTCGCGAGGCAACTTGGCTTATTTTAAAGCTCTTAGAGTGAGCTTCGATATAGGAAATTCTCAGCTTAATCCGATCGACGGTCTGCACGATACGCTGCGCAACGTTCAAGGTACTCTTGCTGTTTTGACTAAGTCCCTCTTGATCCCTCTCTCTACAAACTCGGACCCGAGGATAGGGGCTGGTCTTGTACCAGGCACCCAAGGACCCTTGGAGGTGACCCCGAGGAGAGGTTTTAAGTGTGATAAAGTCTTAATAGCTTGAGTTTATTAGGCCCTTACACCAACATGAACCAGCGTCACCACGTCATGCACCTGCTGCCGGAGGTTGAGTGCGGTCCGAAGGCGTGGACGGTGTTGAAGGAGCTGCACGCCCCGACCTCTGTTGTTGCAACATTGATGCTGGAGAGGGAGCTGTCCGCGTTGCGCCTGAGCGAGGGAGAGCCGGTGCAACCTGTCCTGGACAAATTGCGCGACCTCTACGCGAAGTTGGCGACCGCAGGAATCACCTACCCGGAGCAAACAAAGTGCTTGAAGATGCTCTCGCTGCTGCCGGAATCGTGGCTTCAATTTACGAGCGGATTGAGCCTGCCGCAGAACCAGAGCTTGTGGACGCTCGAGTGGGTGCGGACGAAGATTCTGGAGGAGGACTTCCGTCGCCGCCAACTGAGGGGTGGAGACGACGGCAGCAGCGGCTACGGGATGCAAGGGAGCCGACGTGGCAAAGGACGTGGCTTCGGTGGTGCTGGACGCGGTGCAAAGAAAGACGACGACTCCAACGACCAACAAGGAGGTACCGGTTGGGGTCGCGGTGCGAAATCTGGACGTGGGGGCAAGTCGGGTGCTGGTGGCAAAATGAAAGGGAGTTGCTGGTATTGTGAGAAGGAAGGGCACCCCTGGTTTTTGTGCTATAAGAAACCCGATGGATGGACCCCCCAGAATCGTCACCAGGATGGCGGCGCGCGGAGGAACCAGAAAAACGGCGCCAACATGGTCGCTGATTCGTCCGACAACAACCCAAAGGGCAACGGCGGTGCGGAGAAGAAGAAGGAGCGCACCGCGGGCCAATTCTTCCATATGGGAGACAAGGGGGAGCAAGGAGACGCATCTGCTAAGGCTAGAGCAGAGCTGCACCCCCTGGACTATTGGGTGTTGGACACAGGCGCTGCTTGGACAATGACGCCGCGCAAGGACCTGCTGGACGACGTACGCGCTGCACCGATTAATGAGGTGTGCTCTGCCTCTGGACACATGTTGAAGGTGGCTGGTGCGGGACGAGCTGCATTTAAGGGAGCGGATGGCAAGCCGGTGGTGCTGCACGACGTTCTCCTCGTCCCCGACCTGAAGGCCAACCTCATCTCCCTCCGTAAGCTTGGCAAGGCTGGGGTGAACACCAACACGGATGGGGCTCGCACTTATAAGGGGAAGCTGGGCAATCGGGTGCTTTGGGATCTGCACGAAAGCAAGGACGTGTACAGATCTATGTGGCAGCTGCCGGCGCTGGCGTGGCACGGTGGAGGGCAGGCTGGAGAGGGGTCTGCATCCCAGGGGGAGTGCAACGCCGTTGGAGGGGTTGGTGTGAAAGTGTCGGCCAGATCTGGGGAGACAGATTGGGCAACTGCACACCGACGTTTGGGGCATGTGGCAATGCCTTTGCTGAAGCAGCTGGAGAAGGATGGAGCCGTTAAGGGCTTAAAGCTGAACGGACAACCACCCGATGATAACTGTGAAATTTGCCTCCTTTCAAAGTTCACCCGTTTCCCCTTCCATAGTGTGGCTGGCAGGAGCAAAAAGCCGTTGGAGCTGGTCCACATGGACTTGGTGGGGCCGCTGCCGGTGCAAGGGCACAAGGGGGAGCGGTACTTCTTAACCATAGTGGATGACTGGAGCAGGCTAATGTGGGCGTATCCGCTGAAGCAGAAAGATCACGCCGCCTCCACGATTCGGGACGATTGGCTGCCGTTCGTGGAGAAGCAAGCGGAGTGTGTGGTGAAGCGGATTAGGACAGATCGGGGTGGTGAGTTCCTTGGAGCTGAGATGACGGCCTGGCTTAAGAAGCAGGGCATCCAGAGGGAGCTGACCACGGCTTACACCCCACAGTCCAACGGTGTAGCAGAACGGGCGAACCGGACAATTCTGGAGACAGCTAGGGCGCTGCTCATAGAATCTGGGCTGGGCAACTTGATGTGGCCCCATGCTGTTCGGCACGCTACCGTCGCTAGGAACAGGGTACTCACAAAGGTTGGGGATGACTCGTGGGTGCCGTTGGAGAGGTGGCTTGGGAGGAAGCCGCCGGTGGACATGCTGAGGGTGTTCGGTTGCATGGCAGTCGCCCACGTTCTCAAGACCTACCGCAGTAAGTTGGGGGCGAGTGCAATCTGGTGTGTGCATTTGGGGCTGGCTGCTGAGAGCAAGGGATGGCTGCTGTGGGAGCCTTCCAAGGGTGTGTTGTTTGACAGCAGGGATGTGAAGTTTGTTGAGGGCATGATGTATGGGAGCTGGGAGAAACAGCCGGAGGCCAGGGTGTCCCAGCAGATGGAGCAGATCACCATGCAGCTGGACCTGACTCCTAGTGTGTGGGAGTGTTGGGTGCAAATTCACATTGCACGACATCCTGCCGTCTGTTTGTACGAGTATGCGTGTGCGAATGCATTTGGGTGTGAATGGTATGTTTGTGTGTTTGTTTGCTTTCGCAATTTTCGCTTGAAGCATTTGCAGGTACTCGCACAATGTGCGCTTCGGCATAACATTGTACGCGCTATGAACAGTAGAAGCAGAAAGGACGAGCTCGCAAAGGAACCCAAGATGGAAGCTTTGCGGTTCAACTTACTTGATTGCGCAGATTCAGTTCTATCCAACTCGAAATTGTACTGTTTTGTTTGGTTGACTATAGTGTAGCAGGGCAGGCACTATAGGGGTACAATTTAGGTGAAGGTTGGATGTTGTTTGTCTGTATCTGCATGCTACAGGGCCAGGGGAAACCAGCGGAACCAGCATTTGGCTGGTTGGGCAAAGACAAAACAGGTTCTGTTTTTAGGACCTGAACCTGGTTGTTGTTTTCCCAGGTTGGAAAAACAGAACCAGAGGTTGTTTACCAACCTACCACCTGCTGTTTTGTCCAGCCAGGTTGGTTCTGTTGCTTGGAATTATTTGGGATGATCCCTGGTTGTTCTCAGGTTCATTCCCAAGGTCCTTGCTAGCTAGAACTATTTATTCCTTCTCTGTTTGTACCTGGATATAGTGAAATTGATTCAAGCGAATTCCTTCCTTGCTGGAATTTCGTTTTCTACGCGATGCGACGGCGGAATGCTACCCGAGTCAACGCTAGTATGCTAGCACTCCAACGCTAGGCTAACGCTGTCCGAGCCATAACTTCGTAATGGCAGAACTTTTCGCGAGGCAACTTGGCTTATTTTAAAGCTCTTAGAGTGAGCTTCGATATAGCAAATTCTCAGCTTAATCCGGTCGACGGTCTGCACGATACGCTGCGCGACGCTCAAGGTACTCTTGCTGTTTTGACTAAGTCCCTCTTGATCCCTCTCTCTACAAACTCGGACCCGAGGATAGGGGCTGGTCTTGTACCAGGCACCCAAGGACCCTTGGAGGTGACCCCGAGGAGAGGTTTTAAGTGTGATAAAGTCTTAATAGCTTGAGTTTATTAGGCCCTTACACCAACAAGCTGGTATCAGAGCTGCGTTATAGTGATCCTCGTTATAGGTAGCTATGGCGGGCAACACCTCGGCGGTAGCTGGTGAATCTTCAGCCCAAGATCGTAGCGGCAGCCATGATTCTGGTGTTTCTGCGCCAAGGGGAGCGCGAACAAGCCAGGGCTCGCTGATCAAGGATGTGCTGAAAAACTTCACCGTCGAGAAGTTCAATGGTGAGGGCTATGATGATTGGGCCTGGAAAATGCAACTTTATTTCCGTCAGATCGGTTTGCTGAAACTAATGATTGGGGAGGAGCCTAGACCGAGTGACCCCACCCTTCAGGAAGATTGGGACGAGCGCGCCTCGGCTGGCTACTACTTGATGTCGCAGAGTTTGGAGCTGAACCAGCGTCACCACGTCATGCACCTGCTGCCGGAGGTTGAGTGCGGTCCGAAGGCGTGGACCGTGTTGAAGGAGCTGCACGCCCCGACCTCCGTTGTTGCAACATTGATGCTGGAGAGGGAGCTGTCCGCGTTGCGCCTGAGCGAGGGAGAGCCGGTGCAACCTGTCCTGGACAAATTGCGCGACCTCTACGCGAAGTTGGCGACCGCAGGAATCACCTACCCGGAGCAAACAAAGTGCTTGAAGATGCTCTCGCTGCTGCCGGAATCGTGGCTTCAATTTACGAGCGGATTGAGCCTGCCGCAGAACCAGAGCTTGTGGACGCTCGAGTGGGTGCGGACGAAGATTCTGGAGGAGGACTTCCGTCGCCGCCAACTGAGGGGTGGAGACGACGGCAGCAGCGGCTATGGGATGCAAGGGAGCCGACGTGGCAAAGGACGTGGCTTCGGTGGTGCTGGACGCGGTGCAAAGAAAGACGACGACTCCAACGACCAACAAGGAGGTACCGGTTGGGGTCGCGGTGCGAAATCTGGACGTGGGGGCAAGTCGGGTGCTGGTGGCAAAATGAAAGGGAGTTGCTGGTATTGTGAGAAGGAAGGGCACCCCTGGTTTTTGTGCTATAAGAAACCCGATGGATGGACCCCCCAGAATCGTCACCAGGATGGCGGCGCGCGGAGGAACCAGAAAAACGGCGCCAACATGGTCGCTGATTCGTCCGACAACAACCCGAAGGGCAACGGCGGTGCGAAAAAGATAAAGGAGCGCACCGCGGGCCAATTCTTCCATATGGGAGACAAGGGGGAGCAAGGAGACGCATCTGCTAAGGCTGGAGCAGAGCTGCACCCCCTGGACTATTGGGTTTTGGACACAGGCGCTGCTTGGACAATGACGCCGCGCAAGGACCTGCTGGACGACGTACGCGCTGCACCGATTAATGAGGTGTGCTCTGCCTCTGGACACATGTTGAAGGTGGCTGGTGCGGGACGAGCTGCATTTAAGGGAGCGGATGGCAAGCCGGTGGTGCTGCACGACGTTCTCCTCGTCCCCGACCTGAAGGCCAACCTCATCTCCCTCCGTAAGCTTGGCAAGGCTGGGGTGAACACCAACACGGATGGGGCTCGCACTTATAAAGGGAAGCTGGGCAATCGGGTGCTTTGGGATCTGCACGAGAGCAAGGACGTGTACAGATCTATGTGGCAGCTGCCGGCGCTGGCGTGGCACGGTGGGGGGCAGGCTGGAGAGGGGTCTGCATCCCAGGGGGAGTGCAACGCCGTTGGAGGGGTTGGTGTGAAAGTGTCGGCCAGATCTGGGGAGACAGATTGGGCAACTGCACACCGACGTTTGGGGCATGTGGCAATGCCTTTGCTGAAGCAGCTGGAGAAGGATGGAGCCGTTAAGGGCTTAAAGCTGAACGGACAACCACCCGATGATAACTGTGAAATTTGCCTCCTTTCAAAGTTCACCCGTTTCCCCTTCCATAGTGTGGCTGGCAGGAGCAAAAAGCCGTTGGAGCTGGTCCACATGGACTTGGTGGGGCCGCTGCCGGTGCAAGGGCACAAGGGGGAGCGGTACTTCCTAACCATAGTGGATGACTGGAGCAGGCTTATGTGGGCATATCCGCTGAAGCAGAAGGACCATGCCGCCTCTACGATACGGGAAGATTGGCTGCCATTCGTGGAGAAGCAAGCGGAGTGTGTGGTGAAGCGGATTAGGACAGATCGGGGTGGTGAATTCCTTGGAGCTGAGATGACGGCCTGGCTCAAGAAGCAGGGCATCCAGAGGGAGCTGACCACGGCTTACACCCCACAGTCCAACGGTGTAGCAGAACGGGCGAACCGGACAATTCTGGAGACAGCTAGGGCGCTGCTCATAGAATCTGGGCTGGGCAACTTGATGTGGCCCCATGCTGTTCGGCACGCTACCGTCGCTAGGAACAGGGTACTCACAAAGGTTGGGGATGACTCGTGGGTGCCGTTGGAGAGGTGGCTTGGGAGGAAGCCGCCGGTGGACATGCTGAGGGTGTTCGGTTGCATGGCAGTCGCCCACGTTCCCAAGACCTACCGCAGTAAGTTGGGGGCGAGTGCAATCTGGTGTGTGCATTTGGGGCTGGCTGCTGAGAGCAAGGGATGGCTGCTGTGGGAGCCTTCCAAGGGTGTGTTGTTTGACAGCAGGGATGTGAAGTTTGTTGAGGGCATGATGTATGGGAGCTGGGAGAAACAGCCGGAGGCCAGGGTGTCCCAGCAGATGGAGCAGATCACCATGCAGCTGGACCTGACTCCTAGTGTGTGGGAGGAG